TCCATTGCTTAGGGCCACAAGATAAATTCCGACAATCGTAGGTTACCCATACGAGCGGGCGGCCACCGCGGCGTTCGGGCTGGGCGTCGAACGGAGGGGATCTGACGGGGGTGGGATTGGGAAGTGGCGGGCCTTTGGGTGAGAGCCTTCACCGTTTGACCATTACAGCCATTTGCAAGGAATGAGAAAGCGGTTTATATAGCCTTGGGGCTGCGGGGTGGGGGGATATGGGGGGTTATAGTGGGTGGGAGTGCTGTGGGCGCTGTAGCTTGTCAGGTGCTTGGTTGACTTCACAGCTTCAACACCACACAGCCATGGCATCGACGGCGACATCGCAGCATCTGCCGCCCAATTGATGCGCCAGAGCTCGAATTTACTCGTTTACCAATTATTAGAGCTGTGCGCATTATCACCAGCTCTGCATAGAATGGCCGGCGCCACTTGATCAACAAGATCTCCGTCCGCCTTTTCCTCTCTCCCACCAAGCTTCCTCGCGACATCGAGACAAAGACGGACGGACGAGACGACACGATAAACACTGAGCTCACGACTAAATTCGAACGAGCCTCTTCTTGCTCTTTTACCAAGAAGCATCATCATCAGCATGCTCACGACGGCCCCCCGGCTGCGCATCCGGCGCCCCTCGCCCACGACGGCCGAGTTCACCGTCACGACGCTCCCGCCGCGGACGCTGCCCCTGCGCCTCCTCTGGCTGCTCCTCCTCGCCTTGCGCATCTCGCTCTCCCTCGTCGCGCTGCTCATCCTCTACGCGCGCTGGGTCCAAGAACGCGGCTCCTTTGGCGGACCCGCGCAGGCCCCAACAACAACATCATCATCATCACCACTACCGCCGCTCTTCTCGCTGGACCGTCTCTTCTTCGCACTCGACGCCTTCCAGAGCACGCCCGCCGGAACGCTCCTCGCGCGCATAGCGGCCTCCGTATCCCTCCCGGTTCTCATCCCCATCGCGGCGGCCGTCTTTTACGCGCTGAGCTTGCGCGTGCACAAGGAGGAGAGCTTGCTCGTCCTGCGGGGGCTGGGCGTGCAGACGAGCGAGAGCCCCGCGACGTATCTGGCTGGTGCGGCGACGCGGTTCATCCCCACGGAGAAGATTCAGGATATCCTTGTGAATGAGGCGTTTTTGGGCTTCGAGGTGAGGTATTACCTTGTGGTGGTGGTGGAGGGGGAGGAGAATGTCGTGGTGGTGTTTCCGGGCTTGTTGCCGAGGAGGAAGATTGTCGAGACGGTGTGGAGGGGGGTGAGGGAGTGTTTGTATGAGGGGAGGGGGGAGGATCGGGTTGATAAGTCGGGGAGTTGACATCATGATAGACGAGAGATGGGTCAAGTGTTGACGGGATATATACCAGCTGTGTTTAGATTCGTGCTTATAGAGGCACCACAAGATGTATGTGTCCAGCAGATCGATCTATATACCCAGATGTCCTTTATTCTCTTTATCCAGTCAATTCAGATAACATTCATTCATCCGCCATGGTGGTATCCTCCTCAGCCTTGGCACTCTTAAACCCCTTCTGCGCCCTCATGTCCTCCGCATCCTTATACCCCTTCCTCCTGGCATACTTGTCATTCTGCTCGTCCGCGCTCTCCAGCAACTTCATGTTCATGACGCCCGGATACTTGCCGCTCAGCCTGCCTCCATTGCCGCCCTCAAACACTTTCACGCTCGCAGCAACAGCAGCACTCGTCGTCACCGCCTTGGCCACGCCGTTGTTGTTGTTGCCCTGCTTCGAGACATGCTGCAGCAGCTGGCCCGCGAGCACCTCGTCCATCTTCTTCTCGCGCCACATCTGCCACGCGTCGTCCATGATGCCAAACTGCCCGAACCGCCCGCTCGGCCCATCGTCCCCGACGTACACCCACCGCAGCGCGTCGTCCTCGCGATGCGCCTCCGCCGACGCGCTCAGGTCGGACGGGAAGATGCAGTCCCAGAGCACCAGCGGCACCTCGTCCGCCATGACGTAGTTTGGCCGCCGCGGGTTCCTCTCCACGTCCAGCAGCTCGCTCACCACCGACGGCTTCTCCAGCCCCTGGCCCACGAGGAAGAGCACGGCGACCATGTGCCGGATCTGATGCCACAGAAAGGCGGAGCCGCGGACGTGGAAGTAGTACACCTTGGGATACACTCCCTTTCTGCCTCCCGAAGCAGCAGCAGACGACGACGATGACGAGTCCAGCGCCTCCAGGTTCTCGGGGGCAAAGCCCGCCGCCTGGAGATACGGCAGCGCCGACGCCGCGTCCTCGACCTCGACAATGTCCGACTCGAACATGCGCCGCTTGAAGTTTGTGATTTGTTTCGCCGGGTCGACCTTGCACAGGTTGCGGAAGTCATGCTCGCCCTCGTACCGCTTCGCCGCGTCGCGCATGGCGTCAATGTCCAGCCAGCCGGGCTTCACCCTCCCGCTGCCGCTGCCGCTGCCGCTGCCGCTGC